CACCTTAGGTGTATGTGGCTGGCGCCTTAGCCACTTGAGCCACAGGCACCGAGCCAACCTCAAACTCTTGGGCTCAAGCAATTCTCTTGCCTCAGCCTCTCAAGGAGCTGGGACCACAGGTGCCCGCCACAATGCCTGGCTATTTTTTGTTGCAATTGTCATTGTTGGTTAGCTGGCCCAGGCTGGGCTCAAACCCACCACCTTCGGTGTATGTGGTTGGTGCCGTAACTCACAGGGGCGTCAACCTAATGGTAAGCACTTTTTCATGTGCTTATTGGCCTCAATTTATTTCTGAAGAAAGACACATAAAAGGTTAAGAGAAATGCTTTTCAAACAACCACTGGAAAATACCCTCTGAACAACTATTAATATTTGCCATCAAGTTGACTTACAAATCTCTACCTGTGCTATTATTTCAGAATAAGCTTTTCCATATTAGGCAATTCAATGCATGTTAGGTTATTCACTTTACTTAAAGTTACAAATATGTTCATTTTACAGTTGCTGTTTCCAAGAAAGGAAAAGTTGAAGTACTCATAATTACCAAAGTCAGAGCACCTCCTTGAAAGGGTTCCTGTCACAATCTCTCTGAAATCTACAATTTATAAAGCCCACATGGTATCACTTCTTTCAACATAACTTAAGCAATCTTTAAGTAACTAAGAAGTTTGAATCCTCAAGGGAAACTCAATTCAAAAGGTTCTAGAAATCTGAAACTGTCTATATCAAACACATGTCAAGGCAATATCTACCGAGTGCCAGTTTTATTCCATTATGTCAATTTTCAGTCCAAAATTTTACTTCTTCCTTACTAGGCAACAAAACCTAGACTATGCTAAAGTTCTAATAAAAGAACATCTATAAACACCGCCAGAATAAACTGTGATGAATTCATACAATTAAACCCTACAAAACAATAAAAGGGACTAACTACTGATATATGTACTATGAATGAAACCTGATTAATATTTAGAAAAATAAGCCTTACACAGAAGAGTACTGTGTAGTTTCATTTACCTGAAGCTCAAAAATAGGCAAAACTATCCACAGTGATATAAGTCGGAATAAGAAAGGTGGACAGGGACTCACTGGACAGGACGGAGGATAGGGGACTTCCTAGGGGTAATGTACTGTATATTGCTGGAGAGATATTAAACAGTGCGTGTGGTTTTTAAAACTCATCAAACCATAATATTTAAGATCCATGTACTGAAAAATAAACTATATAAAACTAAATGTTACAGAAATGGCTATTTATCCACATAATCTGAAAAAGAAATTACTGTAACACTACTGACCATTCCTTCCTTACAGCTCAAAACAATTTGGTTCCAGTGTGAACGCACTGGTTTCCTGTCTAATCCTGGACTATTCTTTTGATAAATTTTCCTTCTCCACTCTCATGTTTCTGTAAACTAATTATAGTCCCACATTTCTTCCCTATATACCCCCCTAGGTGATCTCTCCACTACAGCTCTACTATGCCCACAAGTCTCTATTAAACTCCATACCTAAAACCCAGTTGCTGCTAGGCGTGACATATTATCACATGCTCAACGTTTACAAACCCTAAATTCTTCGCCATCCCCATTCCCAAAAAACTTGCCCTCCTTATCCTGGATTGAAATCATTCTTAAACATTTCCCCCTGAGCACTCTGCAGTATCTCACAGAAAAAGGAGATGATAACAGAGCCCGCCTAGACCCCTCACTGTTCCAGTCCAGCTGCATCTCACTGAGCCTTCTCACACTACTGTGAGGTTGAGGAATGAATAAAATGTAACCTCAGACTCGGCTTCTAGAGAATAGCCAACACTTATCCAGAACCAGCCACCAGCCAAAACTTGCTAGTCACTTGACACACACTTAACTGTGTACTAAAGTTGCCCTGAATGAAACTAAGCTCAAAATAAATTAAGTAACTTGGCCAAAGTCACACATAACGACAAAAGCCAAGATTTGAGCCCAGATCTCTCTGGGACTCTAAAATCCCTCATCTTTAGAACACACAAGCTGGAGGACGAAACTCCAATTACTAGAATACTTTTCAGACCACCCAAATAATGGATCTCTGTCAACCATTTTACAGTTGGGAAAGTGTAACCTTGTTGCAGATAACTTCCCAAGCCATTTGAAGGAACCCGTTAAATTTCTCAATCCGGAGCATACAGCCCCTCCCCCCCCCTTAGCTTCCCCAGGTGCCATAATCCTCGCTCTCCAATCTTGTGCTTGGGTGAGGCTGTCTTTTGGGCTGTGACAAGGGGTGACAAAGGGACGCAGGGGAGGCCGAAAACCGGACCTCCTCAAAGATGAAAAAGGTCGAACCTCGGACTCAGGTGGGTCACATTCTGCGCCCTGCAGACCCCACGAGCCATCTCTCTCAAACAACGATCCCGGGGTCACCTTGACCCCTGCAGAATGCCAGCCCGAACTTCTGCGCCGGGCCAAACCCACCAGAAGAGCAACTACACCAAAAGGGGTCTCAGTAACCACAGCGAGCTGTTGTTGAGAGACGCCGGGAGGTGCGAGGCGAACGAACGAGCCGAGCCGCAGGCAGAAGCCTCCCCGGTTCCAAAGCCGGGAATGCCCGGTGCGGGAGTTCGGGGAGCCGCTCCTTCCGTGGAAGCTGATACGGCGTGACCCGTACCTGCGGACTATAGGCGTCCGAAGCCCATGCTCCCATCAACTTCTGTGTGAAGCCGCTAAACTTGTAATACATGACGCCCGGAGCCCGGCTCCCTGCATCCACTACCTACGCGACCGCTCCAGAAAAGGACCCCGCCTCCCCCGCTGTAGTCCCAAGGTTCAGCGCAAGGACCCTGCTCCAGGAGACGGGCTACCTGGAGATTGCCTGATTTAAAACATGGCCTCTGACGCCACATTGAAGAATCAGAAGCCGAGTTCTCAGGACCCCTAAAGACAAAACTAGCCCTAAGCAAGTACAAAAACACACTGTAGCGGGGTCTGTAGCAAAAACGACGTTCTTTCCTTCTCTTATTTCTATTCGGGCAAAACCACGACGTCTCAAGAATGCGCAAGCGCCCCACGGACTAAGCCCGGCGTCCGAGGCCCTGGGGAGGACCCGTGGGGGCGGGTCCTAGGCGGGGCCTGCTGCGGGAGTGGGTGGGGAAGGGGCGGGACTGAGTTAAGGATGGGGCCGTCAGAACTGAGCTGCCAAAGACAGTAGGTCTCGTCAGGGAGCTAACCTGGTTGTTGGGTTGTAGGCATCTCTTCCTTTATCAGACTTCACTTGCTGGAAATCTCATTAATTTTTTCCCCGCCTAAATCACCTCTTGAAGCAACCCGCTCTTACACAGTGTTCCCAGGAGTATGGACCGGTCGCCAGGCTTCCACTGACAACTTAGGAATGGGAGCAAATAAGAAAATTCAGAAGCCCCGCCTGTTTAGTACGAAGGGTTGTTGGAAGTTTCGTCCCAATAATATAAAAATAACACCAGGGCTCAGCGCCTGTGGCTCAACCGGCTAAGGCGCCAGCCACATACACCTGAGCTGGCGGGGTCGAATACAGCCCGCACCCGCCAAACAACAATGACGGCTGCAACCAAAAAATAGCCGGGCGTTGTGGCGGGCGCCTGTGGTCCCAGCTCCTTGGGAGGCTGAGGCAGGAGACTCGCTTGAGCCCAGGAGTTGGAGGTTGCTGTGAGCTGTGATGCCACAGCACTCTACCCAGGGCGACAGCTTGAGGGGCTCTGTCTCAAAATAAATAAATAAATAAATAAAAATAACACCAGGAGGTAAATTTTGCACACTTTCTAAGAATTGGTTTCTACTTTAACCTGAGTTGTATGAGAAGTAGTTACTCATCCTTTTTTATTGGCCTCTACTCTTTTAGATAAATGAGGTGGGGCGAGGTGACTAGAAACACTCGCAAAGTCTTGACCTTAAGCCTGAAAGATCTGAGATGACCACTTTCAATTCTGATAGTATTCATTTCTACTTTTTTTTTTTTTTTTTTTGCAGTTTTTGGCCAGGGCCAGGTTTGAACCTGCCACCTCTGGTATATGGGGTCAGCGCCCTACTCCTTGAGCCACAGGCACTGCCCTACTTAAAGATATCTTTTAAAGCTCGTGCAAGGTACTGTCACAAGCATGTTACAGATACATTTATAATGCATTTAGGAAACCATGTCCCTGTAGCAAACTAATGGATGATACTAAGTTTTATATAGCATTTTCCATAAACTCATTGAATCTTTACAACAATTCTGTAAGGTAGGTACTATTATTACCCCTATTTTACAATACAGGAAAATGTGACCCAGAGAAGCTAAGTAACTTACTGTTTAGCAGAAGAACTAGTTATATGGCTCAAGAATCTGCACTCTTAAGCACTGTACTACAGGTAAGTGATATAAATCCATTCCGAGAAGAGGAGGATCAAGGCTGAACCCTCCAGAAAGAGGGTGTACACCAGCATCCTAGCTTTGGCAAGTCTAAGCCCAAGATCTTCCAAGTATTCAGCACTGCTATACCCTGGAGAGCAAAGTTTTCAGCAGATTCATACAAGCCAACCCAAAGTTGCTGCTTTTACAAAGCATCCTTGTGATATAATGGAAAGAATGCATGATTTGGGTTCGAGTCTTAACCTCTCCAAGGGTGAGTGATTTGAGATTAATCATTTCCATTTTATATGCCCCATTGGCCAGTTCTGTAAGGTAGGAATCATAATCATCATCATATCTTTCCTCACTAGTGTTCTGAGCATCAACAGTTCAGTAAGTTATAAAGCTTCCACTAAGTGAAACTGGTGAGAATACCTTTGAGTCATCTACCTTTTTCATAGTTCTTGACTGTATATAAGATTCTTAGTTCAAAAAAAAAAAAATGCCATAGCCAGGCATGGTGGTGCATGCCTGTAGTCCCAGCTACTCCGGAGGCTGAGACAGGAGGATGGCTTGAATCCAGGAGTAGTGCGCTATGCTGATTAGGTGTATGCACTAAGTTCGGCACCAATATAGTGACCTCCAGGGGAGGGACAGGGGCGGGGGAGGGGGCAGTTGCCTAAGGAGGGGTGAACTGGCCCAAGTCAGAAATGGAGCTGGTCAAAGTTCCCATGCTGACCAGTAGTGGGATCGCGCCTGTGAATAGCCACCGCACTCCAGCCTGGGCAACATAGTGAGACCTCATCTCTAATTTAAAAAAAAAAAAAAATGCCGTTTCATGCCTGTAATCCTTGCACTCTGGGAGGCTGAGGCAGATGAATTGCTTGAGTTCAGGAGTTTGAGACTGGCCTGAGCAAGAGCAAGACCCTATCTCTTAAAATAAAAAAAAAAAAGTATCTAAGTTACCATAAATTTTTCTTGGTTACTCTAATTAACTAATTAAAAACTGGAATCCTTCATACCAAGGAATGTACTTACTAACAAATGCTGAGTAGAAGGAAAAGCCTTTCATAGAGTTTAGCTTGAAAGAGAACTTAAATCATTTGGGACAGCTACCTGTCTCCATCCACTGTCTTCTGGACATGTTTTGGATGAAGAAAGTAGAGAATGTTTCCCAACTTTTAGCAGCAGTAAAGGTGTACCAGCTTCTTGAGGTACAGGGTGCCTGTCAACACTGGTTATTTTCTTAAAGTTCCTGCCATCTGATTTTAGATCCTGCAAGACATAAATTAAGAATCCTGAAAATGTTACAACAGCCGGGCTGTTCAGTGGGAGATAAAATGTCAGTAGCAGAGTGTGGGTTGGTATGTCACATGGAGTGGCTGATCATGGGAAGATTTTGTCTCATTTCCCAAATAAAATGTAGCACACGCTGACAGTGCTAAGGCACCCTATTCTCATTCGAATTTGCATATCCCAGCCAACATCAAAGATGTGATCCTTTTTTTTTTTTATCATGATCCCTTCAGGTTGCTCCCCAGATCCTATTCTGAGGGACAGTGACCATGACTCAGAGCGCAGAAAAGCTTGCCAGTCACCAAGTGAATGCAAGTGCCAGTGTGGCTCAAAGAATGCTGCTCCTTCTCCATTTACAAGAGATGTGTGCTGATGCCTCTGGCAGGCTACTCTGGGAATGGAAGGAAAAACCATTATAAATTTTAAATTGGGTTCTACTGAATATAGGTAGGAACTGCTTTGTGAAATAGTTCTTAATTTTTTTAATTCTCTAATTTTCCCCCAAATGACTTTTTAAACAAGACACTTTATGGGACTGGAAGATTAAAATATGCAGGCCCTGTGGTGGTCGAGGTCATTGTGGACTCTTCCTCTGACCCTTCAGCCCTTCCCTGTATTCGGGAGGGCGCATATATCACCCGACTTTGGTGTTAACAGTGGGGAGCAGAAACGTGACTAATGAGTATTGGTTCTGGACTCATTTACCAAGGGAAGGGTGTCTCCAGGATATAGGTCCCAAAAAGCCCTGCTATTTCTTTGCTGCCAAATTTGCAAACTGAAGAACAGATTTAACCTGGGGGAGAATGCACATTCCCCATTCTAAGCTTTTCTGTTGGAAAAATGGAATATAGATAGTGCAGTATTATAATGAAGTGTTACCTTTTTTGTGTGGCTTGTGTCTGCTCTCTCTTTAGCAAGAAAAAGGAAGTGGAGGAAATACGTTTTTCCAACATGCAAAACTGCTAGTGAAAACCCCAAGAAAAGCACCCCCAGTAAAATATTGGAAAACAAAATGGAGAGCTAACCTCACTTTATAATTCTCAGAATGACAACTCATGCAAATTATTCAGTAATTTTCCTGTGGCAGAAATCTCAGGCGTCATCTCTTACTCTTTTTGTCAAATAAAGTTCTATCTGGTGTGGAAATCTTAGGTTTGTTTTTAAAACTTGAAACCTACTCTATATTGATATTGAAAACCAACCCTTTGCTAAAGCGTGGTGTTTTTAACAGGAAAAGAGTTGGGGGGTCTGAATTCTGCATTTCTTGCCCAAAGGAGGGGAGATGGCAGCTGGGATTGCAGTTGCTGGGACAGCTTTATTGCAGTTCAGGATGAACATATTGACACCAACTCCCTACTCTGACCTTCTCATTGTTTAACATCAATACAGTGTGTGAAACCGTCTCACTTTTGCCTGCCTGCTTTTCGTTATGTGTAAGTCAAAAGCACATCCACAGAGGATATGGATTTAACTCAAATTTGACACATCACATTTCATCTCGCTGGTGAAGAAAGGCTGAGGTATGACTCATAATTTATTTTAAATCATTTTAAATACACTTAATTATGCATAGAAAAAAAGTTGAGATTCAGAACAAGATTCGTGCTATTTTACATTGACATCATCTATAAAAATACAGTACATACCATGTTGTTCTATGCATAGAATCAAAGGATCACTGGGGATTCCCACTCTCTGCATCACATATGTCTATGCTGTTGTAATATTTCAAAGGGAGCATGTATGGCTTCTGTAAGCCTTGTATTCACACACATAAATAACACAATGTACCCAAAAGACAACAATTACAATTTTAAATGTTACCACGTACTTATACTCCAGACTACCAGTTATCATAGAATACTCTTTAACACCCCCTGGGTACATGTGAGGATCCGTTAAGTGACAATCTCCGAGTGCTAGGCCATAGGGAGGGTGACTCAAGGGCCATTCTGCCTGTTATGGCTAACATGGCAGTGGTTCTTCTTCACGGGCTATCGGAGAAAAGAATGAATGAACAAATAAACATCACCTCCACATATTGCTGTGAGAAATGAGCAACCACTCTGGGTAGTTATTCACATGAGTTCCCTAAAAGCCATGGAAATTGATAACCAAGTGGAAAAGGAGCTGAAGAGCCATACCCCTGGGTCTGGAGAATA